ATGTCTAAGAGTTTCCCATGGTGTCTGTAGGGAGGTTTTGTGTATATGATCATATCATTCTTTTTTATCTGTATGTCTTCTGTTTCTTCATTCTTTATTGTTTTATCAAAATTTTCAGCTTGCTCTTATAATTATTATGTGAGACCACAGAACACATGTATTTTCTTAATACAGTTTTTTGAAGTAATGCTATTTTTAATTTTTTTCTTTCTGCTATAAATGTTGGCCTAGGATTGACACATGTACCTCTCATTATGTTGACCTGGGTTCTGTTTATTCTTAGTTTTTTTAAATTTCTTTTTGTTTTTCAAATCAGGGTTTCTGTGTAGCCATGGTTGTCCTAGAACTCACTCTGTAGAACAGGGGGACCTCAAGCTTGTAGTGATCTGCCTGTCTCTACCTCCCGAGTGTTGGAATTAAAGGCATGTGCCATTACTGCCCATCCCTAGTTTGTTTAGAAGTTTACCATGAGGCTTTGTTGCACTTTGTCAAATGCCATTTCCAGGTCCTACTGGGATTTTTATCATATGTTTTTTATTCCCTGTGATATTTTTGATGTGGCTGGTTGGATTTTAGGTAGCATTTTTATTCCTTCCTTGTTAGACTTGGTAGCTTTCTGGTTCGGTGTGTTAGATACAGTCACTGCTCCTGGGCCTCCTCTGTTTTTCTCTTCCTCACATGAAATGTCTTATTTCCGGTAGTCTCATGATAATTTTTTTGACTAATCTTTGTATATTTTGCCTCTAACTATTATCCGCAGTGCTGCTTAAGAGGAATGACGTGCGTTAACTCCTGACTATCTTCAAACACACTTCTCTGTCAATTTTAAGAGATCATTTTTCTGGCTGCAGTAACATGGCTGGCAGTTATTTTCTTTCAGGTATTTAAATATATTTTTTCATTCTCTCCTTGCTTTAGAATTATTGACCGTACATCTGGTATTAGTCTGGTATTTGGGTCTTTTTATGTGGTTTGACATTGTTCCTTAACAGAGTTTACTATTAATATTTGTTTTGCATTTTTGACACCTGGTATGAAAGGGCAAGAAGGGGTCCAGTCATTGTTCCTGAGATGGAAAGTCAGAGCAGAGCAACGAGAAGAAATGACCACTTCTTCAGTAAGAACATCCCAGGTTAGTGTTGTGTTCACTTTTTTCCTTTGAGACTTGTTATATATTAAAATCTTGTGTGATGGTTTGAATAGGAATGACCGCCATAGACTCATGTGTTTGAGTGCTTGACTCATAGGGAGCGGCACTACTAGGAGGTGTGGCCGTGTTGGAGTACGTGTGACCTTGTTGGAAGAAGTGTGTCACTGTAACAGTGGACTTTGAAGTCTCAGATGCTCAAGCTTGGCCCAGTGTCAATTTGCGGCCTCTGCATCTAGATGTAGAACTCTCAGCTCCTTCTTTAGCACCATGCCTGCATGCCACCATTTTTCCTGTCATTACAAAAATGGACTAAACCCCTGAAACTATAAGCTAGCCCCAGTGAAATGTTCTCCTTTCTAAGAGTTGCCTCCTCATGGTGTCTCTTGACAGCAATAGAAACCCTAGGTAAGACATCTGGAAAGTGATTCATTCTCTGCTTCTGATGGTTATCATTTGAAATGTTTGTTTCCCATGTATCCCCCCCTCCTCCGCGCCTGTAGTCAAGATTAACTCTTTAAATGTCTACTGTGTACCACAGCCTTTTCTCCAGTTTCCTTCAGATTTCGTGTGAGGGCAAATATTCACAATGAAAGTAAAACCTGCATTTCCAATGTGACAAGCGCTCAAACAAATGTGTTGTGGTTTCATTGCTACAAAGGATGGGTTTGTTATCCATATATTAGTTAAGGCCTCGTGTGTCATGTAGGTTCCATGCGAGGGATGTGTCAGGTTTCCACATTTGACCGCCTTGAGTTCCTTGCTAGAATCTCTAATAATGTTTTGGAAAAGAAATCAGAGATGTGCTATTTGGATCCACATCTATCCTATCGCTAAATATTTAAACTCTCTAGAGAGTGCTGAAGATGGCAGGCCAGAGAGCCTTGATCATGCTGTGAAATTGGTATTTCTGTAAGGAGATGCACACTGTATCTGCTGTTTCTCCCTTTGGCATTTGATATCACAGTGATGATGTGCCTGTGTTTGTTGACACCTGATCTCTATTTGTCTCAGAAGAGTTCGTTCCTGCTCACATCTTTCTCTTGGTTCCGATGATCAGGGATAACTTCCCAAACTAGAGGAATGAATATGTTCACTTTTTCTTTTGTGTGCTTTTCAGACAGTGACCTATTGTGTAGCCTCTCCTGATTGTGAGTCTTTATGTGAAAGCATGTAGAATGTCAGTAAGAATTTTCTTGAGACTGTTGAGTAATGTACATAAGCAGAAATGAAGATTCCTCTTAGTTATATTGTTCTGGTCTTTTCCTCTGGAGGAGGAAGGCTCTCCTACCACCTCTTTTTCTCTTTTGCTGAAGCTACTGTTTTTCATAGTTTGAGATTATGAGAAAAGGCTGTAATGGACACAGTTGTAGCATTTAGAGACACAATTTTGCTTATCACAAACTTTCCATCTGAGATGTGACACTGTGAACCCATATGACATAAACTCCTACTTCATAAATGGTAGATTTCTATTTCTAAACCTTAAATTTTTATCTTATATTTCCTAAAAGTATATCATCTGTGGGACTATCATGTCATTCTTTTTTCAGTATTGTGTGACAGACTGGGGAGATGCACATGCACACACAATTGTGCGCACACACATAAAGGGAGCCCATGTTACATGGATATCACCAACTTGGTGAACCGATGAATTTTACTAGGGTTACTTATAGAAGTAGAAATGACTCAGACACTGTATCCCCAAGCATGGATGACATCTCACAAATCCGGGAAACCTGGAGCAGACTGTATTGCTTGCCAGCAGTACAACAAGTTGGAGGGTATCATTTCCTGGTGACTCATTTGGCCAGAGCCAATCTTCTAGGCAGCTCAGCTGAGGCTGCTAGGCTGGTTTCTTCTTGAGGGGGGAGGGGGCCGTGCCTGTGCTCCTCTGAAAATCCTTGCAGCTCGACTTACGAAGTCAGAATGGCTTTCTTCAGTCTTTACTCTTCATATACTCTTGGGGAGGGAGGGAGGGAAGGAGAGAAGAATGGAGGGAGGAATCTAAGGAATTTGTTCAGTTTCATTGACAGTTGTGAGTTGTTTACTTCCTGTTTAACGAGTTTTTCTGCAGGGAAGAATGTTTCACACTCCCAGGAAACTGTTGTACAGCACACAAAGTTAGAATATACGATTAAATTTTATTTTAATTTATATGTATGAGTATTTTAGCCTGCATGTATGTCTATGTCCTACTTACATGCCCTCAGAAGGCAATGGATCAGGTGGAACTAAAACTACTGGTGGTTATGGGATGCCCTCTAGATCCTGGGAACCAAACCCAGAGCATGTGGAAGAACAAACAGTAGTTTTGACTGCTAAACTATGTCTACATTCCATATTAAAGAATAATTCTCCAGGGCTTGTAGACATGGCTCAGAGGTTAAGAACACTGGTTGCTCTTCTAGAGATTCTAAATTCAATTCCAGGCAACCACATGGTGGCTCACAACCATCTATAATGGGATCTGGCGCCCTCTTCTGGCATGCAGGTATATATGAAGGCAGAACACTGCTTACATAATGAATAAATAAATCTTCTTTAAAAAATAATTTTCCTGCCTCATCTACATCACAGAAATGTTCCTAGGTTCCTATAACTCTTTTACTAGGAATTCTCCCCAGCAGCACATGGTAAAACTCTTAAATATTCATTACAGGGTCTGTTAACATTTGGGGCCGTGGCTTTGGACTTCTCCCAGGAGGAGTGGGAATACCTGGACTCTACTCAGAGGGCTTTGTACATTGATGTGATGTTGGAGAATTACAGCAACCTGGTCTTTGTTGGTGAGAACATTTTTCTTACAGAATTCGATCTTTTGTATTTACCTGGTTTATAGGTATATAAAGTCATCTGAGAAAACAATAAATGCTCTTAACTGCTGACCCATCTCTCCGGCTATCTTACCAAGTTTTTAGTGAAACATTGAATGTTAAATGTGTGGAAGAGATATGCATTTCAATACACTTTGTAAGTTGAATATTTTCATTTTAGCATTGCACAAAACTGTTCGTTAATTATTTTGTGGGAAAAGAGATTTTAAAGAGAGATATTTTAAATATAATCCTTCAGAGAGCTTTTTTTATGAAAGTTATTTATTTTTTTTATCATCTATTTGTCACACTTTCTACAAGTAATGCTGCTGAGAGACGAATGAGAATTCTGTTATCAGTCCCCACAGTGTGATGAAGATCAAAATGGAGGTTCTCAGCATTCATATAATGATAGGGAAAGTAAAAAGCCCTCCACCAAGAGCCCTATTCTAAACAATTATTACTTGTCTTAGAGAACTTAAGGTGACATCAGCTATTGAATCTTACTCACGAGTGTATCCCTATTATCTCTAATTGTGCTCATTTCCCAGAGAACCATTGCGTGTGTGGTAAATACGAGAACGTCTTGGATCAAGACTCAAACTATATTATATGTCAGCATGTGAATATCCAGGAGAAATCTTACAAGTATAATCAGCTTGGCAAAATGCTTCATGAATCCTCCCAATGTACACCTTCTGACACAAATGATTCTGCAGAACACTGCAGCATCTACACATGTGGTAAACACAGGGATGCCTCCACTGACTCATCAAACTTAAACCGACGTAAAAGTGTGCACACTGGAGAAGAACTTTTCAAATATGAAGACTGTGGCAAATGTTTATGTTCCAATAATAGTCTAAATCCAAGTATTCACACTATAAAGATAGAACCCAAGTATACAGAAAGTGATAACCTTCTGGGTTCTGCACACAGACTTGTTCAGCAAAGAACCCATAGTGGAGACAAAGCACACAGTTGTGGGAAATGCTGTTCAAGCCTCAGTACACATGAGAGACTTCATAGTGGAGAGAAACCATGGACATGTAAAGAATGCGGTAAGTCTTTTAAGTGGTTATCTCACCTTAAAACCCATCGCAGAATCCATACTGGAGAGAAACCTTACAAATGTAATGAATGTGATAAGGGCTTTTCTCGATTATCTAGACTTAAAAACCATTCCAGAGTCCATACTGGAGAGAAACCTTACAAATGTGAGGAATGTGGTAAGTGCTTTTCTCGGTTATCTAGACTTAAAAACCATTCCAGAGTCCATACTGGAGAGAAACCTTACAAATGTAAGGAATGTGGCAAAGCCTTTACCCACTGCACAGGTCTTAGTACACATCAGAAAATTCATACTGGGGAGAAACCCCACAAATGCAAAGACTGTGGTAAAGCCTTCTATCTGCTGTCAACACTAAAGGAACATTACAGAGTCCACACTAGGGAGAAACCATACAAGTGCAGTGAATGTGGTAAGTTCTTTCATTGGTTGTCGGGCCTTAAAAGCCACTACAGAATACATACTGGAGAGACACCTTACAAATGTGGAGAATGTGAGAAATCATTTTCTCAGTTGTCAAGACTTAAAAGCCATTATAGAACCCATACTGGAGAGAAATCATGCAAATGTGTAGAATGTGACAAATGCTTTACCCACTGCACAGCTCTTAGAAGACACCATAAAATTCATGCTGATGAAAAACCTTACAAGTGTGAGGAGTGCAGCAAATGTTTTTATGTGTTGTCACACCTTAAAAGCCACTGTAGAACCCATAGTGGAGAGAAACCTTACAAATGTAAGGAATGTGGTAAGTGTTTTTCTCAGCTGTCAAAACTTAAAAACCATAACAGAATCCATACTGGAGAGAAACCTTACAAATGTAAGGAATGTGGCAAAGCCTTTACCCACTGCACAGCTCTTAGTACACATCAGAAAATTCATACTGGGAAGAAACCTTACTCATGCAAAGACTGTGGTAAATCCTTTTATTTGTTGTCGAGACTTAAGGAACATTATAGAGTCCACACTGGAGAGAAACCATACAAGTGCAATGAATGTGGTAAGTTCTTTCATTGGTTGTCAAACCTTAAAAGACATATCAGAATCCACACTGGAGAGAAGCCTTACAAATGTGGAGAATGTGACAAATCATTTAACCACTGCTCAAGTCTTAAAGCTCATCAAAAAATTCATGCTGGGGTGAAATCCTTTAAATGTGAAGAGTGCGGCAAGTCCTTTTATTGGTTGTCAAACCTTAAAACCCACTACAGAATCCACACTGGAGAGAAACCTTACAAATGTGACGAATGTGACAAGTCCTTTTCCCAACGTTCTCTTCTTACAAGGCACAACAAGATCCATACTAGAAAAAAATATGAATATGAGAAACTTATGAGTGATTCAGAGCCACAGAGTTGGTCCTAGCCACACCCACTTAGCATTAAAAAGAAGAAAGCACTCCTGGACAGAGAATAATTATAGATGTGCGTGCAGTAAAGACAGTAAAATTCAGATGAAAAAGATGTCTAAATGGGTCACAGTGTTGGATAAATGTACATAGGCTTGAAAGAGAGGAAAAGAGTATAGACAGTTATAATATAAAAGAGTATAGTCATAGATTAAAGTAGTAAAGATAAAAAATAAATATTAAACTTGTGGAAAAAGTAATAGAATAAGAAAAATAATCTACATGAAGATGGAATATACACAGAGAATCTAGATTATGTGTGTGTGTGTGTGTGTGTGTGTGTGTGTGTGTGTGTATGTGTGTGTGTATTTTTTTTTTTTGACCATGAATGAGCTAAGCACTGAGAGACATTTCATTGTACGGGCTGCCAAGCTAAACCAACATATATTTTAAAGGTATCTTGACTTCAAAATTTGGTTCTAAGGTTATGTTGCTTTGGGAAAGAGGTTCTGCTTTTGTTTCCACAGAGTATGAGAACCTGTGGATTCCTTCCAGACTAATGTGGTTTGTTGAACAAAGTCCCCCCAAAAAGTCTTTGTGAACCCCCCAAAATACTTCACCCAACAAAAAGCAGGAAGCAGTTTGGAGAGTTCACCCAAATTCTCAAATATTGTTTATAAATGTTTGTTTACAATTAAAGGGGGATGTGATATCGAGATGAATGCTTTGCATTTGTATGGATCTTGGTTTATTGATACACATTTAAGGTCAATTTTATTACATGTATATTTCTGCTCTTGATTAAGGTATTGTGTTTGTGCAGCTCATTTAAAATGTAAAATATAATCAAGAAATATAAGTTAATGGATAGTGATTTGTAATAGTTAAGCTTGCCGTCATGCTAGTTAGGTTTTCTGGATGTACAGAAATGTATTTCAGATGGATAGGTATTCTTCAGATCTTTCAAAGACTAACAGAATATGGCATTTAAAATGTTTTAAGAACTTAGGACTTTTCGTGACAATGAGAAACATCTGCTCCTGGCAGCACCAATCTACTTCAAGAGGATGATGGGCATCGAAGAAGCTCCGCATGGAGTTTATTAGCCATTTAGTCAAGAAATTGCTCTTGCCTGGACTGCTTGATGGTATGCTGTATGAACTGGTTATGCAAGACCCACAGAAAAATGACTGCTGAACTTGCCTAAAGATGAGATGATCCTTCAGGGTTTCTGCTTCATGAGAGGGTCTGCCAGACACTCTGCAGGACACAGAAAAAAGTGGCTGACAAACTACCAATATAGGCAAAACTGTCTTTGAAATTTCCTGCTTCATGGAAAAGTCTGCTGGATACTATGGGCCTGTAGGTTGAAGATGGATGCCCCAATGTTGCAGAACTTTGGTGACTGTCCAAGCAGCAAGATGTCTCTGTCAATTCTAGAGTTTTGGATGTTGTTTACAATGCACTTTTTTGTTAACTTAGGTAAAATTATATCCTTCTGGGGTCTTTGATGGAATTGAGGACTAGATCATTATAATTACAGTTTTCCTTCATTATGATAAAAGATAAAGCAGATATAAATATTATAACTGTAATTCTTGCTTGATACCTGTTTTGTTATATGTAATTTTACTATGTTAAAGTTAAAACCTTTCTTTTTGTTTAGACAGAAAAGGGGAGGTGATGTGGGATTCCCCTCTATGCTGTGAATATGTTTTATTACCATTGGTTAACAAAGAAGCTGCTTTGGGCCTGTGGCAGGCAGAATAGAGTAAGGCAGGAATTCCATGCAGAGATAGAGAAGAAAAGAAGGTGGAGTCAGGGAGATGCCATGCAGCTGCCAAAGGAGACAGGCTCCAGAACTTTACTGGTAGGCCTCTACCTCATGGTAAAACATAAAACAATAGAAATGGATTAATTTAAGATGTGAGAGTTAGTTGTTAAGACGCCTGAGCTAATAAGCCAAGCAGTGTTTGAATTAATAGAGTTTCTGAGTGATTATTTCGGGTCTGAGTGGCCTGGAATGAATGAGCACTCTCCACCTACAAGAAATTACTTGAGTGTTTACTGTTGTGAAATCCTCATGTCTTGTACAGTAGGAATTACATGTCTTGTAATTGCTAGAGACCTCAAAACTGTATTTAATTTGTCAAAGTTTTTACCTAGTATAAACACATGTGAAAATTCATCTTGAAGGGAAAAGCAAAAAAAAAAAACCTCCTTTAATAAAGACTTATCTTTAATTCTCCTTCAAAATAGTCATTCTGGAGTCAAACCCTACAAATAGCAAGAGCAGGAGAAACAAACAGTAGAGACGTGGCCTATGTGTATGACACCTGTCCATGCTCATGCACAGCTCGGAAATCCCAAAGAATGTTCATGAAAGTAATTTTTCAGTACTCAAGAAAGTTGGAAAGTTATTCAATACATAAAACTAAAAAATAAAGAAAAAGGAAGTTACTCCAACTGAAAAGCACAGTAATTCATATAGAAACACTGAGACACAATAGCCATTAGACAAACAAGCATATTACAAAGAAGAAAACCAAATGAGTGAGTGAACATGTCCTGTTTTTGAATGGACAAGGGTGTTTCTATTTGAATAATTCTTACTGACATTTTGGCAATAATAGTATTGGAATTTGCTGAAATGTAAACACGGTGCTTTGTTTAAACTGGGATACATCCATGCTGTCTTGCTTACAGGTGGTTTTATGATAATTTGTATCAGTTGTTGCTTATCAGGGCTGATGAGCCTGAGACAGGTGTCAAGGAAGTTAGATAGTTAGATACTGATCACTAACCATCTGTGGACCCAAGTCAAATGTACAGATTCCTGAGGGCAAGTTCAGAGGGTCCCTGGATCAAAGCTCTTCTTCCTGTAGATCAAGGCCCCTCTTCCTGATGACCTTTTGGTAACTACAGTAGTTCCGGTACTGGGGAGAATTCTGTCATTGCGTGCCTATGAAGACCCCTCCGTTTTTGCCCTCTTTGCCCTGACTGCTCATTAATGGTTTCCTAGTTAAAACAGCCTTTGCCACCCAAGCAGAATCCTGTCTTGGAATCCCTTTGGTTTCCGGAGTTATTCTTGCTCTTTATTTGTAACACATGGTGGTTAAAGTGATTGACTCTCCCGGAGTTCAGTTTTCTTTGTGTGGGGGCAAGATTCTGATAGCAGCTTACAGGTACATTCCTTGGCACTTGCTGCCTGTACCTCCTGGAAATGTAACTGTGTGTTTTTGTTCCATGGAGACTTAGTAGCCTAAGCAAACTTCATTACTGTAACACAAATGGAGATGAAATTTATTTTGCAGGAGGAGGAGGATACAGGTAAGTATCCTGGGCAATAGGAAGAGAAAACAGCTAGCCTAACATAGCCAGAAGCAGGGGCTTCTTAAAAACATATTTTACAGATCCCTAAAAAAAATTAGCAAATCCATGGAATTAGTGATGTCCTCAATGAAATGTATGTGGAAAAATAAAGATATCAGAGGAAAACAAAATCTAATCTTAGAGAATGTATAGTCATGTTGAACAGTGTGCACCATACACCAAGAAATTCACGCGTTTGCCTTCTTTGAAAATGGTGAATACCAGCTATAAGTTTCCATCTCTTAGTAAAGTAACACCCTCCCATTGTAATTACATTATTTTTTGGAAAACTGCCTGTATTTTTGAATTGTTCTACAACCCTGTGTTTGGGTAATTTAATAAATAAAACATCCATGTTTAATAGTTTTACATTGAAATTCACTGAGTAAATGTAATCTAACCTCCTGTCTGAAGTTCTAACACCTTAGTTTAACGAATGAGGAATGCTGGGTAATTTGCAAGGCTTGATAAAGCCCTGTAGACTCATTCAAAATCTTTCCATAGCATGTAAACCATATATGATTTTGCATAATCTTGTCCAAGTTTATATTTCATGTCTGAGGCTTTAAGATGAATTTAACAGAAATTACTTGGCAGTGAAATTAGAATCCTAATTTACAGTTATGGATATCTTACTTACAAACAATAAGGTTTTTTTCAGGTAGTACTTTTCTTTCTAATACTTTCCACCACAGAAGCTTTTCCTTTTTAGTTAAACACATGTCTGAGTATTTTAAAGTTGAATCTATTGTTTGAGAATTTCATATTTGTGTGCCATACATTTTGATAGACTCACTCCAGTTCCTTCCCAACTCTTCCCCACAATCATACTATTCCTTCACATCCTCATGTTCTCTTCCCTCCCTTCCTCCCTCCCTCCCTCCCTCCCTCCCTCCCTGCTTTCTTTCTTTCTCTTTCTTTCTTTCTTTCTTTCCTTCTTTCTTTCTTTCTTTCTTTCTTTCTTTCTTTTTTTCTTTCTTTCTGTTTGTTTTTGTTGTTCATTTTCCCTCGAGGTAGGGATTCCCTGTGTAATAGCCCTAGCTGTCCTGGAACTAGCTCTAGACTAGACTAGCCTTGAACTCCCAGAGATCTGACTGCCTCTGTCTCCCAAGTGCTGGGATTAAAGGCCTGTGCCACCACCACCAGGCTCTTTTTTTTTTCTTAAGTGGCTAAGTCCACTTAGTGCTAACTGTATGTACATGCGTGTAAAACCAATCTGCCCACATTTAATTTCCAATAGACCAAAACATTCTGTAGGCAAACCACTTCCTGGGTGGAATCCAATGGTATCTCCTTAAAGGAACTAGAAGCTTAGTTGGATCCTTAGACTTTTTTCTGAAGTAAAAAAGTATCTCTTCTCTATTCCTGAAATACAAGGTCTGGATATTAATCACACCTGTCGTCAATAACCTTGAGAGAGCAGAACTCTCTGACCTAAGTCCCGACGGGACCTTTGAGGCAGAAACATTCTTGAAGAAATAGAAGTTAAATTCTGACCCTCTGACCTTTTGTCAAGCGCAGCCTGGATGCTGAGTCCGATTAATGAATGCTGACGTCATTAATAATTAATAACGATACTGGCATCAGGATTAATGAATCACGCACTCTGGATGTTGCAGAATCAGAAGCTCTTTATTATACATCACCATGGGGATTTATACCTAACCCAGACAGGTGGGTCAACAGGATGGAGACCTCATTGCAGGATCCTTGGGTTAGGGCCAAGCAATGCGTTCTGAGGAAGCAGGGTTAGTAAACCACTCTGAGAGTACGGAACTTGGAAGTTTCTCAGAAGCCCAGAACAACAAGGGCAAAAAAGGTCACCAACAGGGGAGGTGAGTAGGAAGGCCAGGACTCCCATTAGGTCCCAACAGGCCTCCACACTCAAATGACCTAATAAAATCAATTATATACTTTTGAGATATTTTGCAAAAACCTGTTACTTTCTGTTTTAGATGAAAAGCGACACTTAAATATCTTTTAAATCTTCATCATCCATCATGAGGGTTAATTTTTTTTCCATTTTAAGATGGGGCATTTTCTTTTGAAATATCTCCTTAATTTGTTTTGTTTTGATACAGAGCCTTACTATGTAACCTTGGCTGACCTGTAACCCTCTCTGTAAACCAAGCGTCCTGTATCTCACAGAAATCCACCCACCTTTTCCATCTGAGTGCTGGGGTTAAAGACATGTATCCACCAGGTCAGCTTATCATTTTTGTCTCTGCCTAGAATCTTTTTTTTGGGGAGGGGGGGTTAATTTTTTGAGGTTTCTTTGTTTCATGGTTTGGACTTTGAGTTCCTGAAACCATGTCTACAACACTATTCTGATTTCTGGTTGTTAACAATATAATATCTAAGTCCTTTTACGTTGTTGTTGTATATTAAGGGCTTTTAATGCCCCCTGATGCTCAGACTTTGCCAAGTAAAGACTACTGTTCTACAGAATATCTGGAGTCTCTGGAGTTACCATATACATATCATCCTTTAAATCTTTTCATCATATATTTTCAGGTGGTAAATTAGCCCTCTTAACCATCCGTTTCCAGTGATACTCCGGAGGGAAGGTTCAGAAAATTGGATTGACTTTATTTGATCACAAATCTCGGCCACTTTCCTGGTATTCTCTGGTGCTTCTTAGCATATGGCAGACCCATGCAAGCCTGAACCCATCCTAAATTTGCAGGGAGGGACTGAGTGTACCAGAGTTATAGTCCTTTGAGGGCCACAACGAGCGTCTACAAGGACATACTAACTTGCTGCAGCCCGCTTATTAGACCTTAGTCCAAAGCTGAGCCCAAGTATAGTTAAACAGCTTTCCACACCCTTGTTGGTTCCATGTCTCTCTCTCTCTCTCTCTCTCTCTCTCTCTCTCTCTCTCTCTCTCTCTCTCTCACACACACACACACACACACACACACACACCATCTTAGACATCCACCTGTCTCTTCCTCCCTTGTGCTGGAATTAAAGGCCTGTGATACCAATTCTGGCAAGAGTGACCTATATATTTTGATTGTCTAGGTTAAGCTTGCTGAACCAAGCCAGCTAACCTGCCTGCAGAGAAGAAATTTTCTCTAAGCGGCAGAATTTCCCACAGGTCATTGCTAGTACAGTGTGAAAGGAGAAACCCGGTTTCACAGCCAAACCCGGAATGTCGCCGATTTCAGCGGCGTTGCCCAGTGACCGGTGGACACCTGCAGAGCGGGGGCAGCTTGGGAAACCGGGCGGAAAGAGGAAGTAAGTGGGTGGGGATGGGCGAATGTGAGCAAGCTGCATGGTGGGCGGGACCAGAGTAGGCTGGGAGCCCGAAGACGGCTGGCACAGCAAACTCGCCATTCCCTAAGTAAGGCAGACCTGGGTGCGGAGGACCTGGCGAGGTGTCGCGGGGACGCAAAAACTCCCCGGAGCCGCAGTCGCCGCGGGGCGGCCTGGAAAAGTCAGCAGCGCGGTGGCGGGAACCGCAGCCCGGCGGCCTTGGAACCTCGCAGGTCAGAGGAGCTGCGGGACTGGGACCCAGGAAAGAAGGGACCTGGGGTTCGAGCTGTTTGCTGCTGATTTAGGAAGCTGTCTCTCACAAAAATTTGCCCTCGGTAAATTTTATATCGTGTGAACCGGACTAATCCTGATTTTTTTTTGTTTTGTTTTAAGATTTTCAAAATAGTCTCTTAACCTCGCAAGATTGAATTTATATGTTGATGTTCTAACAGTGTTCTCTTATTACTTCCGAAAGAACAAAGCTCTTAATTTTAAATTATCCACGCTTTTCAACTAACGTGTTCTATCACTTCCCTCTTCAAGAGAGTGGCTTTTAGAGCTTGTCAACCTAAAAAGCTTATTTGACCACATAAGGATCAACTGTAGATTTGTTTGAATCACAAATATATATTTAGTAAACTGTAGGATATTTTCATTAATTTTCCATCTGAAATGTATATATTCTGTGGTTTAAATACAGTGCTCAGTATTTTTTGTGTGTGTGCGGGTGTATTTGTGTGTGTGTGTGTGTGTGTGTGTGTGTGTGTGTGTGTGTGTGTGTGTGATAGGGTTTCTCTGTGACTTTGGTGCTTGTTTTGTAGACCAGGTTGGCCTTGAACTCAGAGGTCCGCCTGTTTCTGTGCTAGGATTAAAGGCGTGCACCACCACCGGGCAAGCAATAATTTGTATTGTTATGTGAAGGTCTTAGTGTTGCATCTTATAGTCCAGAAAGACACCTTATGCATGTTGAGAGTGAGCCAGAGTATGTTCACAGTTATAAAGCTCTGTATAGAACAGCAAGCACCTTAGTAGAAAGAACTTTTGAATAATTGTGACCACTCACCTACATCAGAAAAGAGTCTCTAACTTTCTTGTCTCCTTCGTTCAAGAATAACACATGGACATGTGGCTAACTCTTGCTTTCGGGGGTCGAAACAGGGTTTCTCTGTGTAACAGTCCTGGATGTCCTGGAACTCTAAACCATACTGGCCTCAAACTCAGAGATCCACCTGCCTCTGCCTCCTGAATGCTAGGATTAAAGGTGTGCGCCACCACCACCCCACTCAAACTATTGCTTTTTATTTCAGGGTTTGTTATAGTCAGTCATGTTGCTGTGGACTTCTCCCAAGAGAAGGGGGAAAGCCTAGACCCTGCTTAGAGGGCTTTGTACAGAGACTGGATGTCGGAGAATTGAAATAGAATAAGGTAGAAAAAAACAATTTATTTTTAAAAACAATTTATTAGATACTGAATTGCTCATTTACATAAAGCACTGATTTTACAGCTCATTTCCAATCATGACTTCATCTTGCTACTTGGAACAGAATAACCTGGAAAAACTGCTGAAACAATAAATTGTTGCCCTTAGCGACCTCATCACATGCATTTAAACATGCTTTAACATGCATTGGAAAAGCACCTAAGCCTTTTATGCTTCTGCAAAGTCCTGTTTACTTTTCTCCTGGCCCCACCTTGTGCTTGTAGATTATAAAATGCAAATACAACCGGAAATGGAAACTCTCAGAGGTACCCCCCTTTCAGTCCACACTGCAACAGAGGTCTCCCAATCTTTTCAAACTTCAAGGAGCATGCCCTACTGCATTCAAATCTTAGAAGTCACCAAACAGTGATAGTGCACACCCAATCCCTGACTTCACACTCTACTACAGGGCTACTGTTATAGTTTTCTGTCTCTTTAAGAGACAAGCCACGCCCACTCCCTCCCCATCCGCTGAGGCAGGCTGATCTTCAGCTTCCAGCCTGAGCTTGCTCTCTTTTCCATCTTCCTCTAGGAGAGGCAGCTTTGCTTCTGCTTCTCTCCTACTCTGCTTCCCTACTTCTCTGTCTCTTTCTCCTTCTCTCTCTCTCTCTCTCTCTCTCTCCTGTCCCCCTTCTCCCTTCCCCCTTCATAACCCCCTAAATAAATATTCATCCTCACTCTGCATGTCGTGTCTATCCATGTCTCTGTCTTCTGCCTGCCCGCCACGTGTCTCCCTGCCTGGGAGGGGACCGGCAGCCATCTCTGCCTGGGACTGGCTGCTCCCAGGGTCCGCTGCCTGCTGCCACATGGCCCGCTACCACCATTTGGGACCTACAGAATTTCTGCTGCCTACTGCTGCCAGGGATCTTGCAGCATTTTTTTTTTTAAATATAAAAGCTACAGTACTGAAAACAGCCTGGTATTGGCATAAGGACAGGAGGACCAATGGAACCAAATAGAAGACATGGTTATCACTCTTCGAACTCCTGATCCTTGATAAAGAAGCAAAAAATATCAAATGGAAAAAAGAAAGCATATTTAACAAGTGGTGCTGGCATAACTGGATATCAACATATAGAAGAATGAAAATAGATCCATATCTATCACTATGCACAAAACTCACGTCCAAATAGATCAAAGACATCAACATAAAGCCAGTCACACTGAACCTCTTAGAAGAGAAAGTGGGAAGTACACTTAAACACATTGGCATGGGGAACCACTTCCTAAATAGAACCCCAGCAGCATAGACACTGAGATAAACAACTAATAAATGGGACCTCCTGAAACTGAAAAGCTTCTATAAAGCAAAGGACACTGTCAACAAGACAAAACAACAGCCTACAGAATGGGTAAAGATCTTCACTAACCCTACATCAGACAGGTCTGATCTCCAAAATATACAAAGAACTCAAGAAATTGGTCACCAAAAGAACACATAATCCAATAAAAAAAATGGAGTACAGACCTAAACAGAGAACTCTCAACAGAGGAATCTAAAATGGCTGAAAGACACTTCAGGAAATGTTCAACATCCTTAGTCATCAGAGAAATGCAAATCAAAACAACTTTGAGATTCCATCTTAAACCTGTAAGAATGGCCAAGATTAAAAACACTGATGACAACTTATGCTCGAGAGGTTGTGGGGAAAAAGGAACACTTCTGCATTGCTGGTGGGAGTGCAAGCTGATACAACCCCTCAAGGCAGAGGTACTGGCAGGAGCAATGTTTATTGCCAGAACTCTATGGCATTTCAAGGTCCCTGCCACCACCAAAAAGCTTTGCATCAATAGCATTTAAGTGTTTCATGGTAGGATCTCTTGAAAGAGCTGCAAGGTTTTGCAGCTAAAGTCAGGAAGCCTCTCTTAAATGAGATGCACTTGCCTCTAGCAAACAGAACCTACCCAAGAAAGTTCTTTAAGTGCATTAAGTTGTGCTTAACTCCATTCTTTTGTGTCTGCAATTAGTTCCCAGTCGCTCTCAGGTTTTAAGTGGATTTAGCTGTTCTCATTGGCGCCATTCTGTTGACTGAGTTTTTGGTCCTGCCCTGTTCCCACAGTTGTTAAATCCCAAAGAAATCACACAGAGGTCCACATTAGCTATAAACTGATTGGTGTAACATGAACAGGCCGGCTTGTTTGTTTGTGTTTTTGTCCCGCCCTGTACCCCTCAACTGTTTAGTCCCAAAGAAAATCATACATAGGTCTCCATAAATTATAAAGCTGATTGGCCCATTAGCTCTAGCCTCTCACTGGCTAACTCTCACATCTTGATTAACCCATTTTTCTGATCTATGTTAGCCATGTGGCTCAGTACCTTTTTTCAGTGGGGCAGCTCACATCCTGCTGCTTCTGTGGTCTGGGCAGGAGTGGGAGGAATCAGCTTCCCCTTTTCCAGAATTTTCCTGTTTTCGTTACATCACTTCTACTTCCTGTCTGGTTTTCCCACCTATATTTTTTGCCTGGCCAGTCAGCGTTTATTTATAACATGATTGACAGAATACAGACAATTCTCCCACAAATTGGCCCATCTGCTTAGGCTTCGTATTAACTAATTCTTTATTAATATTTATTTATTTATTTATTTATTATGTATACAATGTTCTGTCTCTGTGTATGCCTGAAGGCCAGAAGAGGGCACCAGACCTCATTACAGATGGTTGTGAGCCACTATGTGGTTGCTGGGAATTGAACTCAGGAACTTTGGAAGAGCAGGCAATGCTCATAACAACTGAACCATCTCTCCAGCCCCTTAACTAATTCTTTTTTTAAAGGTATTTATTTTTAATTAATTTATTAAGTATACAGTGGTCTGCATGCCTGCAGGCCAGAAGAGGGCACCAGATCTCATTTCAGGTGGTTGTGAACCATCAAGTGGTTGCTGGGAATTGAACTCAGGACCTTTGGAAGAGCAGGCAGTGCTCTTAACCACTGAGCCATCTCTCCAGTCCCCCTTAACTAATTCTTATAACTTACATTAGCCCATAATTCTTGTCTGAGTTAGTCATGTGGCTTGGTACCATTTTTGGCAAGGCAGTCACATCTTGCTTCCTCTGAGGCTTTTTAGCCTCAATTTTGCATATTTTATTTTTTTTAATTAATTAATTTATTTATTAAAGATTTCTGCCTCCTCCCAGCCACCGCCTCCCATTTCCCTCCCCCTTTCCCGATTAAGTCCCCCTCCCTCATCAGCTCGAAGAGCAATCAGGGTTCCCTGACCTGTGGGAAGTCCAAGGACCACCCACCTCCATCCAGGTCTAGTAAGGTGAGCATCCAAACTGCCTAGGCTCCCACAAAGCCAGTACGTGCAGTAGGATCAAAAACCCATTGCCATTGTTCTTGAGTAGTCCTCATTGTCCGCTATGTTCAGCAAGTCCGGTTTTATCCCATGCTTTTTCAGACCCAGGCCAGCTGGCCTTAGTGGGTTCCTGATAGAACATCCCCATTGTCTCAGTGTGTGGGTGCACCCCTCGCGGTCCTGAGTTCCTTGCTCGTGCTCTCTCTCCTTCTGCTCCTGATTTGGACCTTGAGATTTCAGTCCGGTGCTTCAATGTGGGTCTCTGTCTCCTTTCATCACCTGATGAAGGTTAATATTCAGGAGGATGCGTATATGTTTGTCTTTGGATTCACCTTCTTATTTAGCTTCTTTAGGATTGTGAATTATAGGCTCAATGTCCTTTATTTATGGCTAGAAACCAAAGATGAGTGAGTACATCCCATGTTCCTGTTTTTGGATCTGGCTTACCTCACTCAGGATAGTGTTTTCTATTTCCATCCATTTGTAATTTTTTGCATATTTTAGTATTCAATCATTTATCTAATTTAAGAGTTCCTCATGCTGTCAATAGGGAGGTTTTTGTGTTTTGGGGTTTTTATTTGTTTTTTGCTTCGTTTTGCTTTGTAAGGGGATTTTTTTTGAGACAAGGTTTTTCTGTGTAACAGCTCTGACTGTCCTGGACCTTGTGTTTTGGAGCAGGCTAGCCTCGAACTCACAGAGACACACCTGCCTCTGTCTCCCAAATGCTTGGATTAAAGTCATGTGCCACCATGCCCAGCTATCAAGTAGGGAGTTTTATCTCTGTGGTCACATCATTGTTGAAAAGAGCAGTTCAGTGTCTTTATTTCCTATCTGTATTTCTTTGCTTCTTTGTCTTGAAAGACCCACCCCTCAGAACCCGCAGCTGGCCTGCTCTCATGAGAACATCCTGTTTGAGAGACCCTTAGGACCCCCTCAGGACCTGCTGCTAGCCTGCGCTCATGATAACATCCCGTTTGCTTAGGAGAACAGGATATCTGTAGTCGGCACATGTGCCAAACTTAGAATGTCAGCAGTTCACAAAAGGAACAGTCGCCCCCCCCCACACACATGCTGGACTGCTTATCCTCCTTTGTCCTTGTGAATAATCTTGAAACATAACTCCATTCTGAAAATTGAGGCAAAGACAACCCACAGATGTTTCCCTTATCACACAGCTATTCTCCTGCCCTGGAATAGACCAATCACTGCTAGTAACCCTTTGAATAAGCCAATCCAATAAGTTGGAAAACAACCTACAGGTCCCCCCTTGTGTCTGTGGCTTTTTGCTTTAAAAGATGGACTGTAACAGCTATCAGTTGTCCTTCATATCCCGAACCTGAAGGGCCCTGTCATGACAGAATAAAAATCCTCTTGCTTTTTCATCAATTGTGGTTATGTGAGTGGTGTCTGGAGCAACTCCTCCCTGATGTTTGGACTTCTAGTCCTACAGTCTTTTCCAAATTTCTCTTGCTAGCTGCCATAGTTCCACATTCAATAAAACTGAAGAATGGTGCCCCTTCATCTTGTTACAGTGTTTCTGCTCATAATGCTCATTTTTCTCTGTGCTATACCACTGACCTAGGTATGACACACATGCCCTTTACTGTATTAAGCCATGTTCCATTTCTTTGTACCTCCTTTAGGAATTCTTTCATGAGTTTTTGTTGAACTCAAATATGTCAGTGACATTTCTGTTTCTACTGACACTTTTTTCTTGGATTTTTCTTCCCTATAATTTTGTTGGTGATATTATAGGTGGTTGTATTTTGGTACTATTTTTTTCTTTTTCTTATTGCAGTGCTCTTCTTGTTTACTATGTTGTGCCTACCTTGTTTATTTGTTTGTTTGTTTTTTTGAGACAGGACTTCTCTGTGTAGCTTTGGAGCCTGTCCTGGAACTTGCTCTTCAAACTCAGTGCCTGATTAATTCATCCTTGGCTTTCCTATATTCATCTTTTCCTCGCCTGTATTTCATCTCATGAGTCCTCTTGGATCTGTGTCTTTTTCTTTTTTCTGGCTGCTTCAGACTTGCAATGTGTCTTTTTTTTTTAATTCTTAGTGTATGTATATGGGTGTTTTGCTTGCATGTATGTCAGTGCACCTTGTACAAGCCTGGTTTCTGCAGAGTCCCAAAGGCATCATATCTCCTGGAATTACAGTTATAGTCTGCCATGGGATTTGAACCTGAATCCTTTGGAAAAGCAGTCAGTGCTCTTAAATGCTGAGCTTTCTCCTCCCCTAACTCCCCCCCCCATCCTCTCTTCTCTCATTTTTGTGTACATATTCTGCTCTACTTATTCTCTTCAGTATGTTTGGGTGAAATGGCCTGTTAATTCATGACTATCTTCAAATGCACTTATCTATCTGGCAACTGATGTTGTGCCCAGTGTTGGGACTAAAGATTATCAAGAGGATCCAGGCAGTGGTGGCACATGCCTTTAATCCCTGTACTAGGGAGGCAGAAGCTGGAGGATCTCTGTGAGTTCGAGGCCAGCCTGGTCTACAAGAGCTAGTTTTAGGGCAAGCAACAAAGCAACACAGAGAAAGCCTGTCCAAAGACTATCAAGAGAGGGGGCTGGAGAGATGGCTCAGTGGTTAAGAGCACTGACTGCTCTTCCAGAGGACCCGGGTTCAATTCCCAGCACCCACATGGCAGCTCACAACTGTCTGAAGATCAGTTCCAGGGGATCTGATACTTCACACCAATGCACATAAAATAAAGTTAAATAAACCATAAACATAATAAAAAGAAAAAAAAGATTATCAAGAGACCAGATCTAATGTAAGATAAAAGAGTCTTATTTATTATTCCTTATGCTGGGGCCAACCATCCTACAATCACCCCCGCCCTAGAAGGATATGGGGGCTTCTTTAAGCCTTACTGAGGGGAGTGTCTAAGGAAGTTAGGTCATTTTAAATATGTTTGGGTTAAGCAAGTGGTAATCACATTAGTTCTAATTGGCTGGGGCTAGTCAGAAGCTGGTCAGGGCTACAGTTTTCCATTTTTGGGGCAGGCCTGGATGAGTCTCAGGCCCTGTCCTTGAGCTGCTGTGGAAGCTGGCTAGGCCTGGCCTGGCATAGTACTGCATGTATCAGGTGTCCTCCTTGCTGTTGGAGGTGTTGGAGATTGATTGTCCTTTATTTGTGACTTTTCCTCAGAAATTGCTTGTTCAGTCTCAGGAAACTGAAATTGAGGCCTGATCTCTGAGAGAAGGCTGAGCAGCCTGTTATGACATCGGTTCTGTCCTTTCATTAGAGACATGTTGTCTGGTTGCACTAATATGGTTAATGGTTGTTTTCTATCATGGCTTTAAAAACATTGTTTCATAGTCTCCTAACTGTAGGAATATTGATAAGACATCTGGTGTTATTCTGTTAGGATCTTTTTATGTGGTATATAACTTTGTTCCTAACAACTTTTAATATAAATTTTAGATTTATCTTTTTGACACCCATGAATACAAGTGCAAGAAGAGGAAAAATGGCTGGTTCTTCAGTAAATACATCCCAGGTCAGTGTCATGCCCACTTCTCATCTGTAGAATTTGTACAGGAAAATGGATTGAAGACTTTTAATTCTGAAAATATTTTCCATTGTGATGATCAGAGAAATATGCTGATACCCAATTGCTACAGAGGATGGGTGCATATCTTTATCAGTGAAGAGACCAGTGTTCCACAGGGGCTCTGTTTGAGGGACCTATTAGCTATCCCTAAAGCGGTTTTATGAAGGTGCACATTGAGATGCCTGCAGCGCCCCCCTAGCATCACTGAGCATTTAGGAAGAGGTAGTCTTAGACAAGATCGCACTGTCTCTGAGCCTTGTGCAGAGTACTTACGCTATCTAGAGTGCAGAGCACAGCAGTTCTTTTTTTGTTTGTTTGTTTTTGGTTTTTCGAGACAGGGTTTCTCTGTGGTTTTGGAGCCTGTCCTGGAACTAGCTCTTGTAGACCAGGCTGGTCTCGAACTCACAGAGATCCGCCTGCCTCTGCCTCCCAAGTGCTGGGATAAAAGGCGTTGTTCTTATATCATCTTTTCCTAAAGCAACGGGTCTCAGCCTGTGGGTCATGACCCATTTGCCAAGCCTGGAACTGTATTAAAGGGTCACAGTGTTAGGGAGGTTGAGAACTGTTGGCCTAAAGTGATGCTCATGTCAGTAAATTCATATTGTAGTTTCCTTGCTTCTCTCCTTCTCTGTCTCTCGACAGAGTGTCACTGTGTATCCCTGGCTGTCCTTTATTATTACTGATTTATTATTTATTTATTTATTATGTATACAATGTTCTGCCTGAAGACCAGAAGAGGGCACCAGATGTATTACAGATGGTTGTGAGCCACCATGTGGTTGCTGGGAATTGAACTCAGGACCTCTGGAAGAGCAGCCACTGCTCTTAACCGCTGAGCCATCTCTCTAGCCCCCAGTCCTGATTTTTATGTGTACTTTATGGTTGCCAAAAATATTCTCATAAAACAACCTCATTATATGGTTCATATTTGTAGCGTCAGTGATTTGGATTGTTGCTTCTCCCTTCTTACTGTGAGAAAACCAGAACGTTCTGACAGGTTTACTTACTTATTATTTTGAGACAGAGTCTCACTTTGCAGCCTTAGTCTGGAACTCACTATATAAACCTGGACTGCAAAGAGATCTGCCTACTTCTACCTCCTAAGTGCTGGGATTTAAGGTGTGTTCCACCACACCTGGTATTTAAAATCTTTTGACATTAAATTAATCCATAGATTCTGGCTCCCAAGTTTTGCCTCTTTGCTATACAAAATTTGGAGCTGCAGTATTGATCCTAGACCCTTAACTCAACAGAGCTTATGAGAAATCAGTCCAATAAGACCTAACTGCAGAAAAGATTGATCCAGTGTCACTATTTTAGCGAGGTCTACCATTGTGGCATTTAGAAGCATAATTTTGTTTATTACAAATTTTCTGTCTCAGACGCATACACTGTGATTCTGTGTGAAACGGACCCAACCTTGATAAAAAAGTATATTTCTCTGCCTGGACTTTAAATTTATATCTTTTTTTTTTTTGTGATTTTTTTCAAGACAGGTTTTCTCCGTAGCTTTTGGTTCCTGCCCTGGAACTATCTCTTGTAGACCAGGGTGGCCTCGAACTCACAGAGATTCGCCTGCCTCTGCCTCCCGAGTGCTGGGATTAAAGGCGTGTGCCACCACCGCCCGGCTTAAATTTATATCTTATATGCCCTAAAAGTATATTGTTTCTGGGAATATATCTCCTCTGTAACCAGTTAGACAATGTATTTTTTGGTGTAATCACTCAAGAAAGCATCTTACTGAATAACTGTGTTCCCTCATTTACAGCAGAAAAATAGCCCAGTTTCCCTTGTGTTCTTTGTATCCAGGAAGGAACTCTACTCATGGTAAATTTATGTCATTTCAGGGTCTGTTGACATTCCGGGATGTGACTGTGGACATCTCCCAGGAGGAGTGGGAATGCCTGAACTCTGCTCAGAGAACTTTGTACATTGATGTGATGCTGGAGAATTACAGCAACCTGATCTCTGTGGGTGAGGATATTTTTCTCGCAGAATTTGTAACTGATCCTTGATATATGCCTACTTTGTAGATGTGGAGACTCTCTGGGTAGCTGTCTTAGAAACTATAGGAACCTAGGGAGATAATATTAATTAATGCTTCCTCCTGGTGTTTGATGTTTTCATCATGTTTTCCCTTTTGGAGGCATTATGAAGCTTTCCTTTTAAGTCAACATTATCTTCAGACACCCAGTAGCAGGTGTTTTCACCCACATCCTAAAGTATTATTTCAGTCATTGCATTTGATTCATCCAGAAACTGATTATAATCCTATCCACATCCTAATGTTCCATTTCCATTGTTGCACTTGATGTATTCCAAGACTGATAATATTCCTACCAAGTCCTGAAGTTCCATTTCCATCATTGCATTTGACTCAGACTTAACAGGAAGCAGTCTGCAAATTGAAAATGTTCCCTAAATATTTCTTAGGCTTTATTTACCTTTTTTTAGGCATGGGTGTTAGCCTGCATTACGTGAATGTTGAGGCTGCCTGACTAAGCCATCAGGAGGCAGCCAAGGCCCTGAATCTGAAGCTAGAGAGGGGCGTGAGCTACCACAGGTGCTGGGAACCAAACTGAGTCCTTTTGGCCATTGAGTCATCTATTTAGAACTTCCTATAAATATTTTTAAGATTCTTCCATGATATAACAATTGGTAAACTATTCCTAGAGTCTTGGATTACGTCATCTCTTTAGCTATCTGGTACGTTCTATAGGATCCAGCAAAATCATGTTCCACTTTCTAATATACAGGTATTATTGTGTGCAAGGCAGACCTGGTCCCATGTCTGGAGCAAATCCAAGTGCCCTGGAATGTGAAGAGAGAGGAGATGGTGGCCGACCCAGGTGGGGGTGAGTGAATGAACAGGACAGAAGTGAGGGGCTCAAGTGAAAGAGGAAGGTAAAACAGGAAAGGGTTTTGCTGTGTTCTGTCTCACTAGAGGTAATTCTTTGATAACTTTTCTTAGTGCAGTGCTCTCAAGATGCAGCCTGGTGTAAATGCCAGAAGACATTGTTCTCATTGCACATGTGTTATCTCGAAAGCACTACTAGAATGCCAGTGCAGTTTTATTTGTCCATAAGGGAGAAGGATTCTGTCTCAGTAACCATCCATAGTCTTCAGTTATCTGTCTTTGGACCAATAAGAAGTGATTTTCTTTTTCTTTTTGGTTTTTCGAGACAGGGTTTCTCTGTGTAGCTTTAGAGCCTGTCCTGGAACTAGCTCTTGTAGACCAGGCTGGCCTTGAACTCTCAGAGATATGCCTGCCTGAGCTTCTGAGTGCTGGGATTAAAGGAGACACATTATCATTCCTTTTTATGATTGTTCTATTACCAAGGCAAGATTCATCCTGCTGCTTGTTCCTTTAAGTTTGAGTAGACTGAGGAGTCCTGCCATGTTAGTGATTCTCAGTAGGGCTACTGAGGATGATCCGTGTCTCATGCTGTTTATGTGCTTCTTTCCGGGCCTAACATTCTGTCTGATAGCATCATCTATTGTTACATGTTGGATATCGAAATGTTCTATAATCAATTGGGCAGTGGTGACTCATGTCTTTAATCCCAGCTTTGGAGCCTGTCCTGGACCTAGCTATTGTAGACCAGGCTAGCCTCGAACTCATAGAGATCCGCCTGCCTCTGCCTCCTGAGTGCTGGGATTAAAGGTGTGCGCCACCACTGCCTGGCTGCTTTTGACCATTTATCTCTTTATTAGGACCATCAGGTGATTTAGACAGGCACAGTAATACAGCTTCACAAAGTTAAACAAATGCAGTGTAAAAAGAAAAATAGTATTACCTCGCAATTTAGCAAACATATTTTTTTTTCCAGGATGGAAAAATGGCTCAATAGTTAAGAGCACTGGTTGTTCTTCCAGAAGACCAGGGTTCAATTCCCAGCACCCACATGGCAGCTCACAACTGTCTGTGATTCCAGTTCTAGGGAACCCAATAATCCTATATAGACACACATGCAGGCAGACCATCCATGCACATAAAGTAAAAATAAATCACTAAATTTAAAAACAAGAAGTATTTTCTTTACATCCATTACTTCTGATGATTTTAATGTGTCTTTAGGAAAAAAAGTCTCGCCAGGTGGTAGTGGCACATGCCTTTACCCAGCTCTCAGGAGGCAGAGGCAGGCGGATCTCTGTGAGTTCAAACCCAGCCTGGTCTACAAGAGCTAGTTACAGGACAGGTCCCAAAACTACATAGAAACCCTGTTTAAAAAAAAAGAAAGAAAAAGAAAAAGTCTCACCAGGCAGTGGTGGCACACATCTTTAATCCCAGCACTTGGGAGGCAGAGGCAGGTGGATCTCTATGAGTTTGAGGACAGCCTGATCTACAGCGTGAGTTTCAGGACAGCCAGGACTGTTTCACAGAGGAACCCTTTCTTGAAAAAGAAAACACAACAAGAAAAAAGTCTCTATCAAGATTTTGTTGTTGTTTATTTTTGAGACAGGGTCTCTCAATGTATATCTGACTATTCTGGGACTTGTCATGTAGATCAGGCTGGTTTGGAATTCACAGAGATCTGCCTGCCATTGTCTTAGAACTTCTGGGATTAAAGACATGTTTTGCCACACCCAGCTCTGTCAAATTTATGAGAAAAATTTTAAGCTTAAAAGACATTTGAATATTCTGAGTATGGATGTGTCACCAGTACTCTTATTAAGTGGAGATATTTTGAATTTTACAATATTTACAATATTTCAAGGAGGATTAGGCAGAGTAACATATTTCAAACGTAATCCACCAGAGAACTCTGTTCCCAGTATTTCTTCAACTATTTGTCTTTTTTGCATATGAAATTTAGGGATAAAAAGGCTGTTATCTGAAATGGAGATCGGAGTGAGGTTCTTCTGGGCATCCATGCTGTGCCTTCCTGAAAGCTCTGTTCTAAAGGACTGCATTTACTTACTTCAGAGAACTCAGATACTCAATCTGTTTCATCATGCATCAAACCCTATTAGTCCTAATTGTGCTCATTTTTCAGAGAATCAACGGATGTTGAATGAATCAGAGGAGGTCTCGGATGAAGACTCAAAGTTTACTATCGATGAGCGTGTGGCAGTTCAACAGAAGTCACGTAAATGTAATGAGCTTGGCAAAATGCTTCATGAATCCTCCAAATGGACACTATGCAAAACAAATAATACTGCAGAAAACTGCTACAAAGACAGATGGATACAAAACCACAGGGATGATTGTATTGAATCAATCAACTTCAGTAGCTATAAACACATGCACACTGGAGAAGAACCCTGCAAATATAAAGATGTTGACAAATCTTTAAGTTTATTTTCAAACATAAGTCAGAGTCATGGAATCTACATAGGGAAGAAAGAGTATAAATATAACGAATATGATAAATATTTTGGCTTTACCCCAAAACTTGTACAGCTAAGACTCCATAATGGAGAAAAATCACACCAATTCAGGAAATGTGAAAAATCCTTGAGGACCTACTCAAGCCTCGGTACACATCAGAGAGCTCTTACTGGAGAGAAACTATGGAAATGCACAGAGTGTGACAAGTCCTTTAAGCGTTTGTCCGACCTTAAAATCCATTACAGAATCCATCCCGGAGAGAAACCTTTCAAATGTAAGAAATGTGACAAATCTTTCACCTACTGCTCATCGCTTAGAGAACATCAGAACATCCATGAGGGCAAACTTTACAGATGTTGGGACTGTGGCAAATCCTTCACCCGGTGTTCATCTCTTAGAGCCCATGAGAAAATTCACACTGGAGAAAAACCTTTCAAATGTAAGGAATGTAATAAGTCCTTTTATATGCTGTCCCAACTTAGAAAACATGAGAGAACCCATACTGGAGAGAAACCTTACAAATGTAAGGAATGTGACAAGTCCTTTACCTACTGCTCTTCTCTTAGAGAACATCAGAACATGCATGCTGGAAAATTTTATAAATGTCAGAAATGCGACAAAACCTTTACCCGGTGCTCATCTCTTAGGGCACATGAGAAAATTCATACTGGAGAAAAACCTTACAAATGTAAGCAGTGTGGTAAGTCCTTTTATATATTGTCCCAACTTCGAAAACATGACAGAACCCACACTGGAGAGAAACCTTACAAATGTAAGGAATGTGGCAAATCCTTTACCCAGTGTTCAACCCTTAGGATACATCAGAAAATTCATGCTGGAGAGAAACCCTACAAATGTAAAGAGTGTGGTAAGTGCTTTTATAAGTTATCATATCTTAAAGTCCATTACAGGACCCATACTGGAGAGAAGCCTTACCAATGTAAAGAATGTGGTAAGGGCTTTTCTCAGTTGTCCTGTCTTAAAAGCCATGGCAGAATTCACACTGGAGAGAAACCTTACAAATGTAGTGAATGTGGCCGATCCTTTACACATCACTCAACCTGTAGGAGACATCAGAGTACTCATGCTGCAAAACTTTATCAGTGCGAGGAGTGCGACAAATCCTTTGCCAAACCTTCATCTCTCAGAACACATCAGAAAATCCATGCCGGAGAGAAACCTCATGATTGTAAAGAATGTGGTAAGGCCTTCTATCAACTGTCACACCTGAAAGTCCATTACCGAATCCACACTGGAGAGAAACCTTACAAATGTAATGAATGTGACAAATGCTTTACCAAATGTTCATCTCTCAGAACACATCAGAAAATCCATGCAGGAGAGAAACCTCATGGTTGTAAGGAATGTGGTAAGGCCTTCTATCATTTATCACACCTTAACATCCATTACAGAATTCATACAGGAGAGAAACCTTACAAGTGTAGTGAATGTGACAAATCCTTTACCACACTGGCAAACCTTAGAAGACATCAGAAGATGCACACTGGGGAGAAAACTTTCTATAGTAAATAATGTGGCATATACTTTTTCTAGAGCTGTCTGTATGGACCACTGCAATCTCTACATCATAGAATCATTATGAACATGGGAAACTTGTGAAAGCCTTTAAGGAATTTTTAAAAAAAAAAAAAACATCAAGAATTTATAGTGAAGAAAAATTCTAAGATCATAAGTTAGTGTATTACAAAGAAGAAAACTAAGCATACACAAAATTCTCATGTATTTCAGTGGAATATAATTTTTTGATTTAATAGGGAAATGTGCTTTGGAAACATTTTTGTATTGTAAGTATTGAAATTGGTTGACATGAGTACAGTACAGTTGGTTAGGTTACATTGAAAAGCATCCTTATTAGCAAACGGTTTTATGATAATTTGTATCATTTGTTTTTACATCAGAGCTGATGAACCCAAGTAAAGTGTCAGGGAAGTTAGGTAGATAGGAAATGTTGGGCCCTGAAGCCCCACCAAGGCAGAGGTCACTCCAAGAGACACTCTCAGCACGGTTGATGCAATAGCAAGAGGAATTTTTATTCTGCCACGGCAGAGGTCCCTCAGCCTCAAGTGGAGAAGGACCCCTGCTTTTCTATTACAAGCTCTTTTAAAGGAAAAACCACAAAATCAGGGAGGGAGTAGTACAGAATCAAAGGGGAAGTCCAGAAATCATTTGTCAACTATTTTGACTAGTTCATTCAACGGTCAGCTAACTCTACTTGATCAATGTTATGGCGATTACAAAGAGGAACACCTGCAGGTCGTCTCACCCCAGTTCCAGAGTCCGGGTCTATTGAAGAAAGACTACAATGGGGATGGAAAGTACTCAAAGCTCCAGTGCATGCGTGGTTGGTTACCAGGGTCCTGGTTCCGAGGAAGGGGGGTGCAGTAATGCTAAGGTGCCCCAAAGTCAGAACTAGCCACTAGTTTTGTTTGTTTTTTTTTTTTAAAGACAGGGTTTCTTTGTGTAGCTTTGGAACCTATCCTGGAACTCACTCTGCAGACCAGGCTAGCCTCAAACTCACAAGGATCCTCCTGCCTTTTCCTCCAAAGTGCTGGGATTCAAGGCGTGTGCCACCACCGCCCAGCTCTGGACAGACGACTTATGCCAATTTCAGATGCTCTGTGGGTCAGACACAGATACCTGCACAGTTCAAAGCCCTTTGTTTGTTGACCTTTCAGTAACTATGCTAGTTTATGATAGTTCCAGTGCCAAGAATTTGGACTATTTTGTGCTTATGAAGACAACTTATTTGACTTCCTGTTCATGCTGAATCATTTTCAAACAAATTCTTCCACTGGCTAGTAGTGGCACATGCCTTTATCCCAGCACTTGGGATACAGAGTCAGGCAAGTCTCTTGAGTTCAAGGGCAGCCTAGTCTACAGAGTGAGTTCCAGGACAGCCAAGGCTACATACAGAGAGAAACCCTTGCCTCAAAAAACAAAACACATACCCATACTCACCAGTTCTTCTTACTTGAACAGAATCCTGTCATGGAAACCCTCCCCTTCTAGAAGTTATTTTTTTTTACTTGTAATAAATATTGAAGTACTCAACTGTATTGTCCTAGGACTTGGTTTTATTTCTCCATTAGTAGGGTTCTGGGGGTCACAGAAACTTGTTGGTGCCACCATTGCATCTTGCTGCTGCCTGCTGCTGCTGCTGCTGCTGTTGAATGAAATTGGTTGCAGTAAAGAAACCAAAATAGCCTCTCTGTGGGTGAAAAGGGAAAAGTTTATTCCAAATTGCCAAGGCTCTCTAGAAGTGGTGACAGGTGAAAGATTTCCAGGAGGAATGGGGGAAAGAAGGCTTTTTGGTGGGTTGGAACTAGTGAGCCTGAACTGTGGGAGCCTAGACAAATCAGTAGACACCACAGTCATACATTACTGGTGTAAGACTTTAAGACAATCCTGAAGCCATTTTTGACAATTCTGAATCCTCTCAGCCTCTGTGCCATAGTGCTTCCCCTCCTCCCCTGGGAACCAAGGACCTAACAGCTACACTCGCACGTACTCAGTTCCTGAACAATTACCCACTTACGTATGCTTTGGTTCCATCCCCTGGGAAATGGGGTCAAAATGACCTCTTACCTCATCTGATCTGGCAACAGCTCTCCAGTCAATTATTGGTAATAGTCCTTTCAAATAAGCCAATCAGAATAGTCAAAGAACAACTCCCCTTGCTTCTGTGGCCCCTTTAAAAGTAGACTGTACCCGCTATTTGGGGTCCTTCGGCTTCCTGAATGCTGGGGGACCCTGTCATGACAGAATTAATAAAATCCTCATGCTTTTGCATCGGCTGTGGTGTGTGAGATGGTCTCTGGGGGCGACTCCTTCTCGTTATTTGGACGCTAGAGTCCAACACTGGAAGAACCACTCATTCCTCTTGCTGGATTTTAGCAAGTAGGAACTTTCTTCAAACCCCTGAGGGAATAGAGACTTTTGTCTAATTGCCTGGCCCTGGAAAAAGGAGTTTTTTTGGGGAAACAGACAGCAGGTACTCCCTGTTAGCAAGGTGTCATTAATATTAAAGTTGAGCCTCCTGTGGTGGAAAACGCCTTTAATCCCAGCACTTGGTAGGCAAAGGCAGGTGGGTCTCTGATTTCAAGGCCAGCCTGCTCTACAGACCCAGTTCCAGGACAGCCAGAATTATGCAGAGAAACCCTGTCCCGAAAAACAAAAAGTGAAGTCGAGTAAGGTAGAAAAGACCTATCGTTAGATACTAATTTACTGATTTATTTAGTGGTTTACTTAGAACATTTTGTGTTCTGCTTGTTACCAAACATGATTTCACCTTACTGCCTGGATCAGAAGGCAATTGAGGAAGGGGAAATGCGTGAAACAATAGGTTTCTGGCCTTGGTAATGACACAACAAAGGGTGACCCTTGTCAGCTGGAACGCGGGCATTTGGAAAACAAAAGCTCCCAGCTAACTACTAAAGTGCCACTTGTTGGCTTGCTAGCCCCACCGTATGGTTTTAGAGCTTGAGAATACTAGCCGACGTGTTTCAGGAATCAGCCTGGCTTCAGTCCACTGGGGAGTATATTATTCTTCCACGTCAGTGCTGTTGGAATACTCATGTGGGGGAGATTCCCTCAACATTACCATTTCTGCCCCAAGAAACTTATACCACATATGCAGATGAACTTTCTTGAGTAGAAGTAGGAATATGCTTCCATGTGAGGTGGGTATGAAGTGTTTACACCCTCCAAAGAAAACTTTGGTGTTTTTGTTTCTCTGAGACAGTTTCTCTGTGTAGCCTTGGCTGCCCTAGAACTCTCTCTGTAGACCAGGCTGCTTTGAACTCAGAGATCTGCCTGCCTCTACCTCCTAAGTGCTGGGATTAAAGGCGTGCACCACCTCTGCTTGGCATGTCCAAAATATTTGCAAGAAACCATTTTCGGATCTGGGTGTGGGTTTTGGCCCACCTTTAATTCCAACACTAGGTAGAAGAAGGCAGAGCTCTGAGTTTGAGGGTAGCCAGGGCTATGTGGTGAGAACTGGTTCAAAGGAATAGCAAACAGCATTGCTCGTTGAAAATTCTTGGCAAAGCCAGCTAATTAGTGACTGCTCACTGTAACGGAGTGGCTGCCCCTGCTCTGGCACCTGCAGCATGGTCTCATGGCCTGCTGCAGCCACTCGGCGAACTGCGCTGTCCATGCCTGGGACTGGCTGCTCTCGGAACCTGCTGCCCACTGCTACCGCTTGGGGACCTGCAGTGTTTTTGCCTCTGCAGCCCCTGGGGATCTGCAGCATTTTACTTTTACCATTACACTCTGTCCATACAGAAATAATACCTGGGCATCCTCCATAAGACCTGTGGAGAAAATAAGTACAGATGGAAGAGGAAAATGAAAATTGTTCTTAGAAAAGCTGTCTTGTTCATTGTACACTAACAAAACTTACATTTTTGTCTGTCCTTCACGGATGCTGAATAATTCTGTTTTCCATATCTTAATTCCTATAAACTGCATTTTGTTATAAAATCACATCAGGTATGTTTTTCAAACTCCGTAATTGGATGTCTTAATAAAGAAAAGTTACTTTTAATGACTTTGCATGGTCTTCAATGAAGAGCATGTGGTCTAGCATCAAGTCTAAACATCTCACATGGTATTTCAGCATGGGAAATAGAGTGTAATTGCATTTTTTGAGGCGAGGTGTCACCATGTAGCCCCAATTTTCCTTGAACTCACTGTGTAGAACAGGCTGGCCTCAAACTTCCAGAGATCTGCCTGAGATTTAAAAGTGCACACCACCATGCCTGTCCTGTATGCATAATCTTAACAGAATTTGATAAAATACTGAAATGGTTTCTTCCAGAATATTTTTACACATTACACAAACTTCAAAATTGAGTTTATATTTCCTGTTTCAGACCCAATGATGAATACAATAAATTACCTGGCAGTGAAATTGAAGTTGTTAGAGTCCTCAAGACAGGATTTCTTTCGCACTTAGCCTTGTGAAGGTCACCTGAGCATAGAGGCTTATCTTGTCTTTTGTATTTAAAGAGGAATGGAAAGACCTGGTACTCTGGCTTTAGGTGTGAGATAGCAGCAGTGAGCATGTGCACGTGTGAATCTCTTCAAAAGAAAGCCGCAGTGAAACAGACTGCACAGTGGGTGCTGTGCAAGAATAACTGCTGAGACAGTGAAGAAGAGATGGTGCCCATTGGTCCAAGCTTACTACCATAGTCCTTGGAACCATTGATAGGACTCATGGACAGTGGCGGTTTGAATAAGAATGGCCCCATTGGCTCTGGTATTTGAAGGTTTGGTGCCCAGGTAGATGGCCTGTTTTGGAACGATTAGGAGGTATGACCTTGTTGGATGGGGTGTGATCTTGGGTGGCAGGCTTTGAGGTTCCAAAAGCTCCTGACAGTTAACTCTCTCTCTCTCTGCCTGTGCTTGTGATCAGGAGGTAACGTCTCAGCTGCTGTCCAGAGCCATGCCTGTGTTAATCCCACCAATAGAGAATAAGACCACTACCACGCTGTAAAGCCAAATTTCAAGCAAGCTTTAATTAAATAATGGCCAGGTCCATTCCCAGGTTCCTGGGAAAATGGCTCAGAATTGCAGTTTGCAGCAGTTTAAGAAGGAAAACCCATAATCTATTGCATTTCTCATCAGGTCCAATCATGGGCAAGCATATATCCTGATGCACTTCCAGCCTATGAACCTCCCACTCACACATGATCAAACACATTGGTGCAGATGAGTCAAACATGTTTAGGGGATTGAAATACATGTGGCTTGTTGTCTCCCATAAACAACAGCTTCCAGCAGTTCAGGAACAAATAGTTCAGGAACTAGCTGTTCTTGGGCAGGGCACTTGCATATCAGAGGCGTTTTTATTTCATGAATCTCTTAGGCACAGCAATTAAAATTGAAAATGTATGACCTTAAGTGTCTTTTGGCCATTTGAACTTCCTCTGCTGAGAATTATCTGTTCAGTTCAGTGCCCCATTTTTTTAATTGGGTTAATTAGCATTTTAAAGTCTAGTTTCCTGAGTTCTCTATATATTTTGGAGATCAGACCTTTGTCTGTTGCGGGGTTGGTGAAGATCTTCTCCCAGTCAGTAGGTTGCCTTTTTGTCTTGGTGACAGTGTCCTTTGCTTTACAGAAGCTTCTCAGTTTTAGTAGGTCCCATTTATTCAATGTTGCCCTTAAAGTCTGTGCTGTTGGGGTTATACATAAGAAGCGATCTCCTGTGCCCATCTCCTGTAGGGTACTTCCCACTTTCTCTTCTATCAGGTTCAATGTGTTCTGACTGATACTGAGGTCTTTAATCCATTTGGACTTGAGTTTTGTGCATGGTGATAGATATGGGTCTATTTTCATTCTTCTACAGGTTGACATCCAGTTATGCCAGCACCATTTGTTAAAGATGCTTTCTTTCTTCCTTGTATACTTTTGGCTTGTTTATCAAAAATGAAGTGTTCATAGGTTTGTGGGTTAAAATTCGGGTCTTCTATACGATTCCATTGGTCGACTTCTCTGTTTTTATGCCAGTACCACACTGTTTTCATCACTGTAGCTCTGTAATAGAGTTTGAAGTCAGGGATGGTAATGCCTCCAGACAATCCTTTATTGTATAGAATTGTTTTGGCTATCCTGGGTTTTTTGTTTTTCCATATAAAGTTGATTATTGTCCTCTCAAGATCTGTGAAGAACAAATCAAAACAACTTTGAGATATCATCTTACACCTGTCAGAATGGCTAAAATACAAAACTCCAATGATAGCCTTTGCTGGAGAGGCTGTTGAGGAAGGGGAACCCTCATCCATTGCTGGTGGGAATGCAATCTTGTGCAACCACTTTGGAAATCGGTGTTTCGGTTTCTCAGGAAACTCGGGATCAACCTACCCCTGGACCCAGCAATACCACTCCTGGGAATATACCCAAGAGATGCCCGATCATATGACAAGAGCATTTGTTCAACTATGTTCATAGCAGTATTATTTGTAATAGCCAGAACCCGGAAACAACCTAGATGCCCTTCAAAAGGAAGAATGGATGAAGAAAGTATGGAATATATACACACTAGAGTAC